TGGCCCCTGGCATTTTGCCAGAAGTAATAGTTGAGAGGCGAGCCATTAAGATGATGCAGGATTGATTCAATTGTATATTAGACCCCTGCTGTCCGCCTCAGCCTGCTACTTTGGAGTTCTCCAGGGATTCCTGGAGAGTTGCATTGGTTGGGGAAGTGCCGGGAGAGGGAGTTCCGGTGTGGTGTGTTCCTGGAGGAGCCGCATGGGTGGCATTCGGGAGTGTTCCTGGGAAGTGTGCTGGTGGAGTTTGGAAATAAAGTTTGTTCCTGTTTGAGTGGCTCTTGATTTGTGCCCAGCCAGACTGCGGCACCTACCTCCCCAATAATTTTTAACAGTTTCTGGCACAAGATAGGCACTCGATATACATAGATACCGGTTGGAAGGACAAAGGAAGAGAAGAAGGAAGGATGTCTGGCCTTCGCAAGCCCTGCCTGGAGACGGGCATTCATCGCCAGGACCATTGCCTCCTCCGTCCTTGTCACCTCCCTCTCTGACTTGCACTCTCTCCACAGCCGTCTTGCTGACTGTGTGCTGCATGAGGAGGAAGAAGAAGACAGCCAACCCCGAGAACAACCTGAGCTACTGGAACAACGCCATCACCATGGACTACTTTAACAGGCACGCCGTGGAGCTGCCCAGGGAGATTCAGTCCCTGGAGACCTCCGAGGTAAGGAGCCTCACACCTCGAGGACCCCCAGGAGTGCAGGGAACAGCACAGCCCCTAAGAGAGAGCCACAGAGCCCCCGCCCATCCCAGTGCTCTATGCTCGGGCAGCAGCCGCCATGCCCACCCCTGCCCTGCTGAACCAGGATCTGCATTTTAACAAGAATTCCCCGGTGCCTTCTGCACATGGGAGGAGCGGTGTTCTTAGCACTCCTGGTTTCCGGGAATAATAACAAATACCGATTGAGAATCTGTTTGGTGGCAGGCACTTGGGGGGCACCATGGAGATGACAGCTTCTTCTCAGGGGCTCAAAAGTCTGAGATGTGGCTGGGAGATGAACCCCAGCATCCCTCAGAAACAGACTAGGGGACACAAGGACCGGTTACAGACAAAGAGCTACAGGGAAGAGAAGCATGCCCAGGGGAGGTGCTGGGAAGAACATCTGGATTTCAAGCAGGCATCGTGGAAAAGAAGAAGCCTAAGTCCAGGAAGGGATCCGGTGGGGGTGTAGTACATCAGGCCAAGGAGAAGGCACTGGAGAGGGAGAAGTCACTGGGAGAGCTGGCCCGCAGCTATTGGCTGGCCAGTGAGAAAGCTTGGCCTTGACTCTGTGATCGGAGTCCACACTCTTTTTATTCCCCATGGAGCAGGGGGAACAGCAGGGGGGAGCAAGAAAGAGGGATGAAGAGGCCAGATGAAGCATGATCCTGGATGGGGTATCACTGATTGTGGACGTTACTTTGGGGCAGCAAAGGGTCATTGGAGGTCTCCAGGGCTGGGTGAGCCAGGGTTAGGAGAATTATGCTGTTGCCTGGTGAAGGCTCTCCATGTGTGGTCAGAGAATGAATTAGGAAGGAAAAGAAGGGTGGTTTGGTAGATGGATGAATGGATGGGAAAACAGACAGAAAAACCAAGCAGAAATAATAGTCAACTAGGGCGCGGTGGAGACAGGCCAAGAGAAAGATGGCGGACTTCTGAACAGGCAGGCCGGTGAGAAGAGCTCTTTGGGAGGCACACCCCCCACTTCCCCGGCAGACCATTACAAATGTCAGTGTGGCCACAGAGCTCCATGCTCAAGACCCTTCTGCAGCTTCCCATTGCTCTTTAGCTAAAGTTCAAAGTGTTTTACAAAGTAGACCTGCCTCCTGCCAACGTTCTGGCATTGCTCTCCCCCTCGCCTGCTGAGATCCAGCCACACGGGATCCCTCATGGTACCAAGTGACATCGCATGCTCTCTAGACCTGTGCATGGGCCATTCCCTCTCCTGTAGCGTCTCCTGTATCTCCCCTTGTTCACCTCAGTGACCTCTGCCATCATTCAGGGCCCCGTC